ATAATATTTATTGGAGTCAATTAAATGGTATTTGTTTAAAATACTAAAATTATTGGTTCAAATACCATTTAATTGACTCCAATAAATATTATTTAATTCAAGTAAATATTTAATTGATAATATTCAATTAATCGGTTATTTGAGTCAAATAAAATTTTTTTTTAAAGTATCATATTTAAAATTTAATAAATAAATTAGCTATTTATTTATTATGATGTATTATTAATATTATTATTTAGTTATTAATTAGTTAATTTAATTTAGAACATAATAATTAATTAATTATCGTGAAAACTATAAATTCTTGTACTTTAGGGAAATTAGAAAATAATTATAAAAAAAATTATTGAAAATTCTTATCAAATTGCTGTATGTAAGACGTACAACAATTGGAATTGAGAAATAAATAAAGTTTTGGAGAAAAAACTCACAAAACAGGTGAAGCAAGTGCAGTTGGAGTAACAACATAATTATAGATATTGATTTCTGAAGAAAGCGAGACTATAAGCGCGGGGATGGTTGTCGAAGGGGCACCAGTGAGCTACATTCGTCAGGTTGAACAGGTTGGTATGATAGTGTTAAAAAGGTGGCTGATTGAATACAAGGGGGTGATTTATGGATCAAGATACAAATTATCGATTCAATATTGTAGTCAAAACATTTAGATTCCTCTCTATCGAAATTTGCATTTTTCGCCATTTCATTTTAAATTCACTGCGCGACAAATATACAGTAAAAAAATTAAATGAATTACATAATTGGAAAAAACTCTAATTTTTTTCCTTTATTTGGATAAAATAACATTGATACTCATCGATATTATTTTATCCCAATAAAGAAAAAAAATTAGAATTTAATTAAAATTAATTAATTAAAGTATTGTCAATAGAAACTTTTCCATGAAAAAGATTTCCATGTGTAAATTTTGAATATGTCATTTAGAAAATTGTTCTTTCTTTTAATTTTACAAAAGAAAATGTAAAAAATTAATATTCGTTAAAAAAATAAAAATTGTAAAAATTATAATTGTATGGAAAAATATAGTAATTAGCGAAAATTAATCTTATTGGTAAATAAGAAGACTCACTGGTTCGATGTCAGCATCCTCTATATCTGGACCCGCTCCTGAAGAATATTGTCATCCTCCATGAACTTTTCTACAAAGGCACTTGACTCACAGACTCGCGATTCAATTTTCGACACTTAGAATAATTATTTAGAATTTCTCGATTGAAATTAGATTCCATAAACAATAATTAATTCTTAGAACAATTTTTCTGCACAAAATTAAAATTGTCAACAGGTGTCAAAATATAACCTCAAATTTATCATATAATATTTACATTCGCATTTTATGTTTAGATTTATATTATTACCAACACGAATAAAAAATGTACTAAAAATAGTCGAGAATTATTAGAAAATTTAGTCAGAATTTATCAAAATATAGCAAAAATAGTGGAAAATATTAATAAAACTTGCGAGGAGACATGGAGCAAAAGAGAAAAATCGGAAAAATTTTGGAGTATAGAACGGAGAAAGAATTGATTATTTTTAACTTTTGACGTATGCGATTATTTTTTTCAGATAAAAAGAATTGTTTGACAATATTCAGAATAACGAGAATAGCTAAATATTTAGTCAAATTTAAGTACCTACTATGTAATTTAATTTCAATTATCGAATTGCAACTTTGTGCAAAACGTGCAAAATAGAGAAACCTAACCTCAAAATTACGTATTTTTCGTCCACGGGGAAAAATACATTAAAACACTCCTCGTATAATTTTTTCACTACAATTATCTCGAAAATAAATCAAGCACTATTATTATTTACCGTACGCGATTAATAATTGCGTATTAATAATTATAAATTAGTATTAAGTAATAAAAATTCATCACTACTCCCGCACTACACGATCACTTTTTAAAGTTACAATTTCCGATTCTTTGCGTTTTCCGATTTCCGTTTTCTAGTCGTATCTCGAATATGAAACTAGCTATAAAAGTGTGCACACATTTTCATTTAGAATCACTCGTTCTCACTTACTATATTTATTACTAAACTCCTCAGCGTACTGCTTAGACAATAATTTTCTATTAACTAACGTTTGTCACAATTAGCCGCAATTTGGCGGGAAAGAATTATTATTATTATGCTTTTCAAATTTGCACACAGAGGGCGGGCTTTCTGGCGGGAAAATTCAAATGTCAAGCCGCGAAATTATGAACTGCACTACAGTCGACTATTTTATAGAGAATCATTATATTTTAATATAAAATTAATTATGAAAATAATTCTAATGTTAATAATAACAATGAAAATAAAATAGGCAATAATATCATTTTTAAAGCCGAAAGACGAAATATGTATAATAAATAAAAATAAAAAACAAATAAATAAATAAAAAAAAAATTAATTAATTAAACATAATAATTATAGGTAGTAGTAACAATTTTTATATTTATTAATTATGTAGTGCACAGTTTATTAATTACTTTCAGGAATTTTAAATTGCCTTCAATATTAATATTAATTTAATAAATAATAAAATAATTATTTCAATATGAGAAATTTATTATTGAAATTATTAAAATAAAATAAATTCAACTACCTATTTCAAATTGGAAAAAAGGAAATTAAAAATAAAAAAAATTAAACAAATTAAATTAAAAACAAAAGCAATTAAAAAAATTTAATTAAAAAGAAATTTATTGTATCAAAATTTATTTTTGAAATTATTAAATTAAAATTAATAAAATTAATTAAAATTGGAACAATTAAATTAAATTTTTGTTTCGAAGAAATTCATTTTTAAAATTATTAAATTAAAATTAATTCAATTAATTTAAATTAAAAAAAATGAAATTAAAAATAAAATAAATTAGAGAAATTAAATAAAAAATAAATTCAAAATGAATAGAATTAAAAAATGAAATTCAAAAAAATTAAACAAATTTAAAAATTGAATATTAAAAGTGAATTAAAATTAAAACAATTAAAAAGAAATTTTTTGTATCGAAGAAATTCTTTTTTAAAATTATTAAATTAAAATTAATTCAATTAATTTAAATTCAAGAAAATAAAATAGAAACTAAAATAAATTAGAGAAGTTAAATTAGAAATAAAATGAATTAAAGAAATTAAATCGAAAGTAAATTAAATTCAAAATAAATTCAAAATGAATAGAATTAAAAAATGAAATTCAAAACAAATAAAATATATTTAAAAATGAATTAAAATTAAAAACAATTAAAAAGAATTTTTTCGTTTCCAAGTAATCGAATTATTTAACGAACTCGCATTCTGAAAGAAATGAAAAAGAAATTAAAAAAAGAAATTGAAAAAGAAAAAGAAGTCCGGATGGAAGTGAAAATTTCGTTCTGGCGTTGGCATATCAACTTATAAGGTTTTTAAAGTTTGTATTATATATTATCGGCTAGTGGGCAACATATGATTTTCTAGCACATGTTAATGGGGGGAGGTCCAGGGTGATTTTTCTTAAGGGGGGTCACATACCCTCAATGGAGGGGCCCCACGTTCCCTCTCACCTGCGCCAGGTGCAACTGGTACAACCATCTGCATGAGGGGCTCGTGCCAAGGACCGTTCGCTTCTCCTTCCTTCTTTTTCCATATTTTCGTGTCTGCGCCTCTTTCGAAGTGTTGATTTTACAAATATACGTCACACAAATACACTCGCAAGTAAATACATTTAAACTCACATGTGCCTATCTCCAGGACACGTGACATAATTACATAGATACGTCATGGCCCGTGAATTAGGAAATGAAAATATAAGGTATATATACTCCATTCTTTTCATTTCAAATGCTTTAGAAATTTTTCTTTCAACTATATATTCTTTTCTTAATTTATTATTTGAAAATGAAAATTAATATTATTTAAATTAAATAGAAAATATACTTATAAAAATTATTAATTTTTGTTAAAATCTTTTGTTAACTTTAGAACAAAAATTTATTTTTATTTACTTTATTAAAAAATGTTCTCTCGTATTTAAAAATAATTATTTATTATTCGAAAAATAAGAACAAAAATTAATTTTATTTTTAATTTTTTCTATTATTTATTTATTTTATTTAAGTAGTAATAATTTGATTTATGAAAAATATTCTTATCTTTATTTTAACTTTATTCAAAAATTTTTTTCTTTACATTGAATCGAAATTTTCAAAAAGAGAAAAATAACGAAAATGTTTCTCGTACTTTCATGAAAGTAATTTAAATTCATTTCTCTATAACGATTACTAAAAAGTGTAAATTATATTTATTAATAAGAGTAGAGATGATTCTATCACTCAGTCGTATTTTAATAAATAGTGAAAATTAACGATCACTCGTTAATTTTCGTTAATTTTCGTGATCGTTAATTTTCACTATTTATTATATTTATTAATATTTCAACAAATATGTGAATTATATTTTCCTTTCTTAAAAAAGTATTTTACGAAATATTGATTTTTAATTTTAAAAAAATAATTATCGAAACGAATGGAAATGAATAGAAGAGAATTCAAGAGACATCTACAGTGTTTACATGTAATAATACCGAGGGACTCTCTTTACCATTCGTTCAAATCACTTTAATTATTTAAAAAATATTTTTAAAATTTATTTTCTCATTTCTCTCTCTCTCAGGGAAACAAAATGTTTACATTTTCGTTTTTTTCTACAAATGACAGAATTTTAATTTTATTCAAATAATGTAATTTTTCTAGTTAAAAAACTAATATTAAATTACATATAAAATATGAATAAATAAAAAATAATAGAAACTTTAAAATCGAAAAATAACAATTAAATATTTTTTTTTATCAAAAATTAAAAAAGTGAAAAGAAATTTCAAAGTTAAATATTAAAATAATAAAATTTTATACGAAATGCTAGAAATTTTTTAAGTTTCTTGAAAATTATTTTAATTTGAAAGAAATATAAATTTTTATACTCTTTAGAATATATTTTTTATAATATTTTAAACTTTCAAATGTTTAACTTTGTATAATTTTATTTTACACTTAGTCATATTCAGCCCCTATTGTAATACTCATATCTTCGGAAACGATCTTCGTCTGATGATACCACCAGTTGGTGTCCAAAACAACTGTAAAAAGAAAAAAAAATAGTGAGAAAGGCATTTTTTTAAAAATTAATTTGCAAATTGCTAAATTTAAATCAATTTTTAATCGAATTTTTTATACACTTCGAATAAATTCATTGTCGAGAATAATATTGAAACAATAATAATAATAATATAATAATAATTATTCTTTAAATAATTTTAATTTAATTTAATTTAATCTGACAAAATAATAATTATTATTATTTATATAATATAATAAATATAATTTAACACAGTACATAAATTATAAAAATAAATTAATCAACTGCGATGATATTATGAAATTTACGAAAATTGAAAAATAAATAATTGAAATAGTAAAAATAATAATAATTATTAGTTTTATTACAATTAGCCATTTATAATTTATTTATAATTCCTTTTAGTAAAAATAATAAATATTTCTAGTATTTTTAGTAATTTAATAATTATTTTTATTAATACAAGAATAAAAAACGGTAATAAAAATTCATAAGAAGAAGACAATTTGATTATTAAAATTTTCCTAACTGATAAATTATTAATGATATGAAAATAAAATTAAAAATAAAACTTTCGCATTTAATTGTAAATTTATTATTTTCCCTGCATTGCTGAATATTTTGAAAAATGAATAAATTAATTAATTTGAATTCTAAGAAAGTTATTTAACGAAAATTTTATGAAAATTTAATATCCATCATACGTGTATTTGATTAATTTGAAAATTCCGACATATCTGTATAATCTAAAATTAACGCAAGGAAAACAGTTTCTATAATTGTCAATTTCAAAGTATTTTTTTTTAGTAAAATATTCAAATTTCTCTCTCTCGTAATTTAATTTTTATATTTTTTATTAATATTTTAATTATTAATTATGACAATAATATAAAAAAACTAAATAAATAAATAAAAAGTTAAAGGTTAAGAGAAAAGAAAAATATCAAGAAAAAAGAATTCATATTCTAATTAATAATTCTGACAATAATATTCAACAAAAAGAAAAAGTTAAAAACAAGTAGAAAGTTAAGAAAAAAAGAAACTGAAGAAATATAAAAAGTATTAAGAAAAAAATCATTTTTATTATTAATTCTGACAATAATGTTAAAAAAAATAAAATGGAAAGTTTAAAAAAGGAAAAAATTAAGAAAAATGAAAAATATCGAGAAAAAAACTAATATTTTTATTATTAATTCTGACAATAATATACTTATTTAAAAAAATAAAAAGTAAAAAAAAGTAAAAAATTAAAAAGAAAGGAAAATATCAAGAAAAAAAAATTAATATTTTTATTATTAATTATCTGACAATAATATTAAAAAAAAATAAATAAAAAGTTTTAAAAAAAGTATAAAATTAAGAAGAAAGAAAAATATCAAAAAAGAAGAAAAATTTCGAGAAAAAAGAAGAGAGTCAAGAATAAAGTGAAGAGAAAAAAGGAAAGAAAAAGAAACTCTCTAAAATTGAGACATTAAATTATCCCTTCTATATAAAAGTTAACTAACGCAATTAATTAAATCATTAAACTAATTTAAAGTCCTTATGTACATAGATAATAATTTATTGCATGTTTGAAGGCATCGCAAGGTACTCGACTCGTTTAGAATATTGGTTTCTCAAGTCGGAATATTATTTATTAATTATTCATGGGACTTGAGAGGATTAAGAGTTAAAATTGGAATCCGGAAACGACACGAAATCAATGAATATTTCAACAAATAATTATAAATTGAAGAAACTCGCAAATAACGCGGTTTATAAAATGAGAATCAACCTCGTACAAACTCCAAATCGATGGAAATTAAATTTAGAATAATGGAAATGATTTTATGTTTCATTTTCAATTTTAAATATAAATAAATGGGTAATCGAACTGAAAAAAGAGAAAAAAAATCCAAACGAAAATTTTCTAATTTAATTAAATAATTAAATTAAGTCCCATGAATAATTAATGAATATTATTAATTTTTGTTTACTAATTGAATTAAATTTAAAAAATAGAAAAAAAAGAAAATAAATTAAATTAATTAACTTACGTATTTCTCCAGGGTTGACAATTATTTTGAGACTACTACACGAATAATGACATTCGCGAGGCGGTTCCAGTGACCATAATTTTTTCCCTTTTATTTGAGCTTGCCACGATGGATTCGTAACGTCATCGACCTTTTAAAGAATTATTATTTCTTATTATCAAAATATAAAAATTGAATCAATAAAAAATATATTCAAAATAAAAAAAAAGTTCAAACTGACTTTTTTTTACTAAAAAGAAAATTTATGATAATTTTGCAATACTTACGTGCATTGGCGCTCCATATCCGGGACTTCCCATAAAAATCCAGTCAGTTTTTTCACTCTCGGCATTTTCGGGCAAAAAATAAGGTCTGTCGTAATGTCTTCTGAGAATTGTACCAATACTTTTTTCGCAATTACTCCTAAAGTAGAAAAAACAGTAAATAAAATTAAAAAATAAATTTTGTTCAATAATTTAATTAAATTTAATTTTATTAAAATTAATTTAATGAATTAATAATTTAATTTAATTAATATTTTAATTTAATTTAATTAATTATTTAATTTAATTTAATTAATTATTTAATTTAATTTAATTAATTCTTTAATTTAATTTAATTTAATTTAATTTAATTTAATTTAATTTAATTTAATTTAATTTAATTTAATTTAATTTACAATTAAAAAATTCAGAATTTAATAAATATTTTTTATTTCTTCAATATTTAAAAATTTTAAATTCATAATAAAATTCAAAAAATTCAGGTCAAATTTTACTTACCATCCAACGTACCAGGGTTGAGTGCCACTTTTGAGAAGCGCTCTTTCCGCGCTCATATTGAAGACATCTCTCAAATTATGAAATTCCGTCTGATATGGAAAAAATTGACAACTAACGCGTTGTTCTTGATACAAATTTTTGAAGAATTCAAAAGAAAATACATTCATTGCTGTCCAATTTGCCGCACCGTCAATTATAACCACAGGTCTTCCTGTATACGCAAATCTATTGAATTTCCAAGGAAAGAAAAATTTTTTTTTTAAACAAAAATTTCCAAAAAAAAATTCAAATAAATTTATAGGAGAAAAATATATATTTTTCAAAATACCGTTCTTCAAATGCAATTGGATCCAAATTCGAGACTCTTTCAACCTGTTGAATGTCATGGCACATCGAACAATCCACTGGAGGTCGAAAATATTTCTGAGCAAATGCCGGCTGTTCCTTCAGACACTGAAATAAATTCATTTTCATTTAAAAAAAAAATGAAAATCTAAAAATTACATTAAAGAATAATAATTAACTCCAAATGTCGGCAAATTTCCGAAAATAAAAAAATATAATTTAAATATAAATAAAATAAAAAATAAGTAAAAAAAAGAAGAAATTAGAAAAAAATCTGAATTAAAAATTTATCAAAAATAAAAGAATTGAAAAATAAATAAAATAGAAAATAAATATAAAAAAAAGAAACTAAAAAAATCTAAATAAAAAAAATTTCAAAAATAAAAGAATTGAAAAATAAATAAATAAAGAGAAAATAAAAAAACATCGTATTGTGCAAAGAATTTTATCAAAAAATTTAATAATAATAGAATTTCTTCAAAGAGTTTTATTATTTAGAAAAATAATTGACTTCTCGTGAAGAATTCTGTTAAAATTTTTAAAAATTCTAATTAAATTCTTTTCGAAAAATTTCTTTGAATTTTTTTTAAAATAATGGAGTTTCTTTAATAATTTTAATTAAAAATTTGTAATTTAATTGAATTTTATGAATAATTTCTTTCAAGTTTTTAAAATAATCGTCTTTGTTAATAATTGAAATTAAACGTTTAATAATTGAATTTTATTAAAATTTTATAAAATAATTGAATTTTTTTTGAAAAATTGTACAACGAAAAAGGAAAAAATTTAATTCTTTCGTGAAATGTTTTTGAAAATAATTAAATTTTTGCAAAGAATTTTACAATTTATAAAATATAATTGAATTGTTTCGAAGGATTTATTAAAAGTTTAGAAAATAATTGAATTTTTTCGATAAATATTATTGAAAATTAAAAAAAAATTGAATTCTTTCATGAAATGTTATTAAAATTGTATTAACAATAATTGAATTTTTGCAAAGAATTTTACAATTTATAAAATAAAAATTAATTGTTTCGAAGGATTTATAAAAATTTTAGATCAAATAATTATTAAATTCTTTTAAAATATTTTATAACAAATGAAGAAAAAAATTGAATTCTTTCGTAAAGCTTTTTTGACAATAATTGAAATTTTGCAAAGATTTTACTATTTAAAAAAATAATTGAATTCTTTCAAAGGATTTATTAAAATTTTAGAAAATAATTGTATTCGTTCCTGAAATTTTATTAAAATTTTGTTTAAAAAGTAATTGAATTTTTGCAAACAAATTTTACTATTTATAAAAATAATTGAATTCTTACGAAGAATGTTATATAATTTACGAAATAACGGAATTCTTGATAAGAATTTTAAATATTTGAAATTAATAAACAAGAATAATTAATTAGTAAATAATTAGTTAATAATATTGAATTTTTTTAAAGTTTGAATCTGAAATTATTCAAAAATTCATATTTGAAAATGAAAAATTTTGTAATTTTCACAACATTAATAAATTGAATACCACGTTCCGCGCGTAACCGTTTGCTAGTAAATAAAATGAAAAAGAAATGAAAAAGAAATGTAATAAAAATGAAATGAAAAAGACGAAATTAAAAAAAGATTTTAATAAAAAATTCTTCAAAAATAAAAACAGAAAAATAAATCAAGTAAATAAAATAAAAAATAAATGAAATTAAAAATAAATAAAATAGGAAATAAATAAATGAAGAAGACGAAATTAAAACAAAATTTTGAATCAAAAACCCAAAAGTTATAGAAAATAAAAAAAATTATGAACCAGAAAAATATAACACAATTTTAAATACAATTCCCCCCAAAAAGAAAAAAAAAAATTGTAAAAAAGAAAAATAGTGATTTTTTTTCACACTATACTTACACGATCGTATTTAATCGTTGTGATGTAACGATTAAAAGAATAATAAATAATCCAGCAAAAAATGGTGAAAATTCCAAAACTCGAATAACGTGATAGATGAAATTTAATTTGAAATGGTCGCAAGTGTGAGTAAGCGCGCCAAAGACAAATTGCACGAATCGCATATCCAATATGATCAATTTTCTCTATAATGAGACGTAATTCTTTTTTTGCATTAGGCAATGATTTTTTTACAATAAAATCCGATTGGCTTTTTTCAACTTTCTCGTTTCTATCAGTCATGGTGGTTTCTATTAGACTGTGTCGAGCTTTATTTCCCAGTGCTTCTTTGAAAAATCATTGTGCGCTTCAACTGCGCCGGAGCGTTGCTTGGGAATCCATAGAAAATTCACAGAACCGTGAAACCGGAAGATACAATCTGTCCTCTCCCATGGGAATTGCAATTTTATGATGTCCAATTTTTTTCTCTATATATTAAAATAAAAAAAAATTTAGTTAATAAATACAGATTTATTGGAAATTAGAGAAAAAAAAAATTTAGATATATTGAAAATAACTCACCATTTTTTTGTGGGTAAACATTTTTTTTTCTTACTCGACAAAAATGCGTCTTCATCGCGAAGAAAATTCGCAGTGAAGAAATTAAAATAGTGAAAAGAAGTAGAAAATTGTGGAAAAAAAGTAAAATTTCTTCCTCCACGAGGAAGAAAAATACTAAAAAGTAACAAAAATTAGTAAAAATTATAACAAATAAAAAATGAATAATGATTTTTTCTTTACAAAAAAAAATTAAATCCTGTTGAGTAGAAACGAATTTTGGAAATAAAATTAAAAATTACGGTTCATAAGAAATCGATTTTCTTCTTATCTCAAAAAGCAGGTATCACGAACCATTGAACCGATTATTTTCAATTACTTTGCCATAAATACATATATCTAAAACATTTCGATGACTTTTCGTTGATAAAAATTTTCCAATGTCGAGAAAAATTATTCTTAACTTTTAATTTCAAAACTATTCCATTTTTTATTTTTTCAAATATTATTTCTTATTGTAAACTTATTTATAATAATATATTATTTCTTATTATATTGTTTAAATAAATAAAAAAATTAATTTTCCCCTCTATTTGATAATTCGTTAATATGTCAATATATTAAAATTTATTAATTTGTACATATTAAAAATTTAAATAAGTTAAATAATTAAAATAAAAAAATAAAATGAAAATAAAAAATTTATAATTAAACTCAAGATTTTTCGGGATTATTCTTCTAATAACCTTGAAAATAAAAAAAAATTCAAATGCAAAAAATAAACTTAAATTTAAAAAAAACTAAGTTATATTGATATATAAATTAATAAATTTTAATTCAATTATTACATTATAAATAATCTAATTTTTCACGAATAACAATCTAAAAAGTCTATTTTTAGTCCCTCCCCAATGTAAATTAAATAAAAAATAAATCATTTAATTTTCTATTTTTCTCACAATTTGCAGCATTTGAAAACGCAATTTTCTCGAGATTGGAAAGAACGTACAGTAATTGATTTTCACAATAGTAGACAATGTTATAAACTCTCCTGATAATGCCTTTTTTTCAATTCGGAATCGCCAATTTTGTTACAAATGAAATTCCATAAAAAATCTCTTTTTTACAAAAAAAGAAAAAAAAAGTGTCACTAATGCTATTTTTTTCTTTACTCAAAGAATTTGTTTTTTTCAAATAATATACAATATAATATAATATATATAATAATCTACAATCTATATTAATATTCGTTGTATTCAAAAAAATTTGTTCGCAATTTAAAGTTATTGTTGTTTTCCCTAACTTTTACAATAATTTTTCTCTAATGTTTTAAATTTTTAAATTAATATATTTCGAAAATCATTGAATTGTTACAAAAAATGTTTGAAAAAATTTGAAATTAATTGAATTCTTGCAAAGAATTTTATTATTTATTAAAATTCTTGAATGTTTGCAAAGAATTCTATAAAAAAAAAAAATTTGACAATACTTGAATACTAGCAAAAATTTTTAATATTTATGAAAATAATTGAACTTTTTGCAAAGAATTTTCTTGAAAAATTTGAAAATAATTCAATTCTTCCGAAGAATTAGATTAAAATTTTCGAAAATAATTCAATTCTTGCAAAGAATTAGATAAAAATTTTCAAAAATAATTGAATTCTGGTCACAAAGAATTTTATTATTTATGAAAATAAATAATATTTGAACTTTTTGCAAAGAATTTTATGAATTTTTTTGGTAAAAAATCTAAAATTATCAAAAATTCGAAAAATTTCAAAAATCGAATTTCTTAAAATTCAACATTTTTTCTTCTCCTTTATGGGATTTAGCTTGATTATTTTTGTGCTTTTGGAAAATACTTTACTTATTAAATTGTCTCGACTCTTTGGTAAAAAATCTAAAATTATCGAAAATTATCAAAAATTCAAAAATCCGATTTTCTTAAAATTCAACATTTTTTCTTCTCCTTTATGGGATTTAGCTTCATTATTTTTGTGCTTTTGGAAAATACTTTACTTATTAAATTGTCTCGACTCTTTGGTAAAAAATCTAAAATTATCGAAAATTATCAAAAATTCAAAAATCCGAATTTCTTAAAATTCAACATTTTTTCTTCTCCTTTATAGGATTTAGCTTCATTATTTTTGTGCTTTTGGAAAATACTTTACTTATTAAATTGTCTCGACTCTTTGGTAAAAAATCTAAAATTATCGAAAATTATCAAAAATTCAAAAATCCGATTTTCTTAAAATTCAACATTTTTTCCTCTCTTTTATGGGATTTAGCTTCATTATTTTTGTGCTTTTGGAAAATACTTTACTTATTAAATTGTCTCGTCTCTTTGGTAAAAAATCAAAAATATTTTTAAAAATTATCAAAAATCCGAAAAATCGAATTTCTTAAAATTCAACATTTTTTCTTCTCTTTTATGCCATTTAGCTTCATTATTATTTGAATTTTTATTAAAGAGAAAAAATGGAAAACGGATAAAATTTAGAAACTTTTAAAAATTCCAGGCCTTTTCCATGATTTCCCTGATTTGCAGAAGCCTTTTAAAAATTCCATACCATTTCCATGATTTCCATGATTTCCAGATTCTGTAGGAACCCTGCTTTTGTCTGACTTTCTTCTAAATTATCGAATTCAGTGATTTCTGGGGTGAATTTGGTTAAGTTGTAAAATGATTAATTTCTATTTGAATTCGTTTTTTTTTAATGTAGAAAATCTGATGTTAATTTAATTCTTTTTTCGTTATGCACGGCAAAAAATATTTAGCTGGATGAACTACAGATTTCACTTTAGTAGCGAAATTTTTCAGTGCTTCAATTAATACTTTCGTTATTCTAGAGAAACTTATCGCTATTTCAAGTAAAACTTTTTTCAGTGTGTAATAATTATTATTTCTTTAAAAAGTATTTAATTTAAAATGGCTTTATAAAATAAGCAATGCAAAAGATGACCCAGATACTAATTGTAATTGTTCTAGCCATAGTTTAAGTCTAGTAATGTAAATTCTATTTAAATTGAGACCATTGAGTGAAATTATTTGAATTTTAGTTAGTTAAATCTCTTTGTTAGGTTATAATAATTATTTCTTTAAAATTTTTTTAATTGTTTAAAATAAGCAGCCCCATACAACATATGATAGTTTGGCTAGGTATACAATAATATAAATGAAAATATTTACGATTTAATAAGAAAATATAATTAATACCATTTGCTTTCGCCCCTAAAAAATTGGGTAGGAAATATAAATACCCACAATTTAAATACAAATATTTTTTAACGAAAAATAATATCTAAATTGAATAATATTTATTCTAAATAAAAAAAAATTAATTTCTATCTATAATAAATAATAAAACAATTGCGGAGTTAAATTCTTTAATTGTTTTTCAGTCGGATTTGAATTACACTATTCGATTTTCATTTCAATAATAATAATAATTAATAATTAATAATAATAATAATAAAAAAGTATGTACGTGGTACTCTTTCGATATAAATAATACAGCGACGATAACGATATATAATAATGATGATAGAAACTCTCGCTTAAAAATTAAATCTATTTCGATATAGAACTGCGAATCTCGACAATATTATTACATAATAAATGATAGAATTTTCCCAGTTTTTTTTTCTCTCGTCTTTCTAATTTTTTCTTCTTCTTTCAGACCAATATTTAGAGACACATGGAAAAAACTCATACTTTACTATTAAAATTATAAATTATAAATTTATAATAGTTCTTTTCATAGAGGTGCTTTAAAAAAAATTCTCTACGATATGAGTCGTGCGAAAGAAACATCTTTTCTTGTCGATATTCTAATATAATTAATAATCAATTCTAATGATGTTAATTCAAAATATTAATACTAGTAATATTATTATCGTCAATAGTAATTGTGATAATATTAGTAGTAGTAATATTTACAATTAATAATAAAAAAAATAATAATTAATAATATAATAAAAATAATAAAAATAATAATAATAATAAAAATAAAAATAGTAATAATAAAAATAATAATAATAATAATAATAATAATAATAATAATAATAATAATAATAATAATAATAAAAATAATAATAATAATAATTAATAATAATTAATAACTAAAATAATAATTATAATATCTATAGAATTCAACATAATATTTATATATTTATATATATCATATTTATATACCCTTGCGTAATAAGTATGAGTACAAGAAATCTCACGCATTACAGGTGGTCGTTAAAATTACAAAGTTCAGTCTGCCTTTTTTTTATGAAATACTTGAATACACGACGACTATCTCATTAGTATTTATTTGTACATATTTAGTAATTGATGTTCGTCGTAAGGCTAAGTTTGAAAGTCATTTACGACAATCATTACACGATTTGCTTCTTTTTTTTTATTTATTTATAAAATAGAAATTAAAAACTAATAAAAATTAGAGCTAAATGCAAAAAAACTATACAGAAAAAAAAAATTAAAAATAAAAACGGAAGTCGATTGAAACCGTAAAACCGGTAATTATTAGGTATTATTTATATTAAGTGTAACAAAAAAAATGTCACGAGAAAAAAAATCATTCATCTTTCACAATTATACAATTTTGATTTACACAGTTTTTTTTTTAAATTAAGAAATATCACAAAAAACACGATCAGAATGTAACCGTACTTAATTATTTCAATTATATAATAATATAATATGTGTATAATATATAAAATCTTCGGAAAAAGAAAACAGTTTCTTTCATTTTCTTTTTTTCATTATGAAAAATTTCCCACCCAGCCGCGCGCTCACATTCAATTTTTTTTTTTTTTTTTTTTTGAATAACGACTTATGTTTATTATTATTATTTAATTATAATAATAATTAATACTAAATGCGTGTTGAAACTTCTTTTTTAATACATCTATGATGCACACCCATGCTTATTTATACTTCATTTAATTAATATTTAATATGTATGTGGAACAGTAAACTATTATTCCTCTATTCGTTAGGCATTACTATACGTAATGACAATATGATTTTTTTAACTCTTTTTTCCTTTCTCTTCATTTTTTTTCATTTCTTTTTCGCAACTTCTTTCAAAAAAATTGTCTTTTTTCAGCAAATTTTGAAAATATTTTGATTATTCAAATTCAATTTATTATCAAAGTTGTTTCGAATTCGAATCATC